CCCCCCCCAAGTCGACCCCGACACCCTGGCTGCCCGTGCTGTCATAAATCTCTCACCGCCACCAGCCACCAGCCACCGCCGCCACCAGCACCAGCACCACCAGCACCACCCACCACCGCCACCACTACTACTACCACCACCTCCACCACCCACCTCCACCACCACCCACCACCACCACTACTACCACCACCACCACCACCCACCACCACCCACCACCCACCACCACCACCCCCTCCACCACCACCACCCACCACCACCCACCACCCACCACCACCACCCCCTCCACCACCACCACCACCACCCACCACCACCCACCACCACCACCCACCACCACCACTACTACTACCACCACCACCTCCACCAACGCCACTGCCACCCACCACCCACCACCACCCACCACCACCACCACTACTACTGCCACCACCACCACCACCCACCACCACCCACCACCACCACCCCCTCCACCACCACCACTTCCACCACCACCACCACCACCACCCACCACCACCACCACCCACCATCACCCACCACCCACCACCACCACCACCACCCACCACCACCACCACCACCCACCAGCACCAGCACCACCAGCACCACCCACCACTACTACTACCACCACCACCACCACTACCACCACCACCACCACAACCACCACCACCACCTTCATCACCACCACCACCACCACAACCACCACCACCACAACCACCACCAAATTCCCATCCACCACGACGCTGCAACCCTCTGGGAAGTTCTGCGAATGGAGGCAAAAGGCCGCCTTCCCACTCACCAGGACCTCAATAAAGTCCCTCTTCATCGCCTGAAGTGACGCCGCAAAGCCCTTTTGGACCCCGTGCGCTTAAGCTTCAACGATGAACGTTCAAAACCCCTGATGAAGCCTGGAGAGCGGAATGGAGTTCAAAAGAACTCGCAAACAAAAACACGACGTTGTTGTGAAAGACCCCTCGCAGAAGATCCCCGGGGTTTGATCTTCCACGAAGCTCCCCTGGTCCACCCTAAACCGCATCCACCGCTGCAGATTGCGGACACCTGATGCACAAATGGAACATTTTAAAAGCTCCAGTAGCGTGCGGCTGTGGTCATCCAGAGCAGACCGCACGACGAAATGCCCCGATCCACAAATACGAATGAGACATCGCAGCGATACACTCCGCTGGCTCCTGACACGGTGATCTGGCTTGACCACCTGAATGTGAAATTGTAGTTGTGGCTCTGTAATTAAAACGGCCATAGGGAAGAAGATCTCACCTCTCGATTAAACAGTCGTTTTGAGTTCTGGGTGATCACAATCGCTCACTGGAGAGTTTGACATTGTCCAAAGTGATGAGAAATAGTGATGAGAGAAAATATGATGCAAGCAAGTGATGCAGATAAAGTGGAGGGATATTGTTCGAATAACATTCACGTATTTAATAGCTCTCCGTGTCTTTCAACCTCTCCCCAATGTTCAAATCTCTCTCCCCCGTGCCCCTCTCTCTCCCCATCTCCCTGCGTACCCGGGTCTCCCCAGCCACTGGCAGTGTCTCTCTCCCCACATCTATCTCTACCCGTGTCTCTCTACCCGTGTCTCTCTCTCCCCGTGTCTCTCTCTCTCCCCATATCTCTCTCCCCGTGTCTCTCTCCCTGTGTCTCTGTCCCCGTGTCTCTCTCTCCCGTGTCTCTCTCTCCCCGTGTCTCTCCCCACATCTATCTCTAACCGTGTCTCTCTCTCCCTGTGTCTCTCTCTCCCTGTGTCTCTCTCCCCGTGTCTCTCTCCCCACATCTCTCTCTCCCCGTGTCTCTCTCCACATCTCTCTCTCCCCGTGTCTCTCTCTCTCTCCCCGTGTCTCTCCCCCCGTGTCTCTCTCCTCGTGTCTCTCTCCCCACATCTCTCTCTCCCGGTGTCTCTCTCCCCACATCCATCTCAATCCCCGTGTCTCTCTCCCCGTGTCTCTCTCTACCCGTGTCTCTCTCTCTCCCCGTGTCTCTCTCTCCCCGTGTCTCTCTCTCTCTCCCCATATCTCTCTCTCCCCGTGTATCTCTCCCCGTGTCTCTCTCTCCCCGTGTCTCTCTCTCTCCCCGGGTCTCTCTCCCCGGGTCTCTCTCCCCGTGTCTCTCTCTCCCCGTGTCTCTCTCTACCCGTGTCTCTCTCTCTCTCCCCGTGTCTCTCTCTCCTCGTGTCTCTCTCTCTCTCCCCCCGTGTCTCTCTCTCCCCGTGTCTCTCTCCCCGTTTCTGTCTCTCCCCGTGTCTCTCTCTCCCCGTGTCTCTCTCTCTCCCCGTGTCTCTCTCTCCCCGTGTCTCTCTCTCCCCATGTCTCTCTCCCCGTGTCTCTCTCTCCCCGTGTCTCTCTCTCCCCGTGCCTCTCGCCCCCCGTGTCTCTCTCTCTCCCCGTGTCTCTCTCCCCGTGTCTCTCTCTCCCCGTGTCTCTCTCTCCCCGTGTCTCTCTCTCCCCGTGTCTCTCTCTCTCCCCGTGTCTCTCTCCCCGTGCCTCTCTCTCCCCGTGTCTCTCTCTCCCCGTGCCTCTCTCTCCCCATGTCTCTTTCCCCGTGTCTCTCTCCTCATATCTCTCTCCCCGTGTGTCTCTCTCTCCCCGTGTCTCCATGTCTCTCCCCGTGTCTCTCTCTCTCTCTCCCCGTGTCTCTCTCTCCCCGTGTCTCTCTCTCTCCCCGTGTCTCTCTCTCCCCCTGTGTCTCTCTCTCTCCCCGTGTCTCCATGTCTCTCTCCCCGTGTCTCTCTCTCTCCCCGTGTCTCTCTCTCTCTCCCCCCGTGTCTCCATGTCTCTCTCCCCGTATCTCTCTCTCCCCCCGTGTCTCTCTCTGTCCCCGTGTCTCTCTCTCTCCCCGTGTCTCCATGTCTCTCTCCCCGTGTCTCTCTCTCTCCCCGTGTCTCTCTCTCTCTCCCCCCGTGTCTCCATGTCTCTCTCCCCGTATCTCTCTCTCTCCCCGTGTCTCTCTCTGTCCCCGTGTCTCTCTCTCCCCCGGTGTCTCCATGTCTCTCTCTGTGCGTCTCTCCCCAGCTACTGGCCATACGGGCCCGAGGGTTGCCAGCTGCACGGATTCCATGGCTTCGTGACGGCACTCGCGAGCATCAGCACCATGGCAGCAATCGCCTGGGACCGCCACAGCACCCACTGCTGCCGTAATGCCCGCTCAGTCGCTCACCCATCCAGCCATCCGCTCACCCGCTCAGTCGCTCACTCATACAGCCATCTGCTCGCCCGCTCAGTCGCTCACTCATCCGGCCATCTGCTCACCCGCTCAGTCACTCACCCATCCAGCCATCCGCTCACCCGCTCAGTCGCTCACTCATCCAGCCATCCGCTCACCCGCTCAGTCGCTCACCCATCCGGCCATCCGCTCACCCGCTCAGTCGCTCACTCATCCAGCCATCCGTTCGCCCGCTCAGTCGCTCACTCATCCCGCCATCCGCTCACACGCTCAGTCGCTCACTCATCCAGCCATCCGCTCACCCGCTCAGTCGCTCACTCATCCGGCCATCCGCTCACCCGCTCAGTCGCTCACTCATCCAGCCATCCGTTCGCCCGCTCAGTCGCTCACTCATCCGGCCATCCGCTCACACGCTCAGTCGCTCACTCATCCAGCCATCCGCTCGCCCGCTCAGTCGCTCACTCATCCAGCCATCCGCTCACCCGCTCAGTTGCTCACTCATCCAGCCATCCGCTCGCCCGCTCAGTCGCTCACTCATCCAGCCATCCGTTCGCCCGCTCAGTCGCTCACTCATCCAGCCATCCACTCGCCCGCTCAGTCGCTCACTCATCCAGCCATCCGCTCACCCGCTCAGTCGCTCACTCATCCAGCCATCCGCCACTTGCCGCTCAGTCGCTCACTCATCCAGCCATCTGCTGACCTGCTCAGTCGCTCACTCATCCAGCCATCTGCTGACCAGCTCAGTCGCTCACTCATCCAGCCATCCGCTCACCCGCTCAGTCGCTCACTCGTCCAGCCATTCGCTCACCCGTTCAGTCGCTCACTCATCCAGCCATCCGCTCACCCGCTCAGTCGCTCACTCATCCAGCCATCCGCTCACCCGCTCAGTCGCTCACTCATCCAGCCATCCGCTCACCCGCTCAGTCGCTCACTCATCCAGCCATCCGCTCACCCACTCTGTCGCTCACTCATCCGGCCATCTGCTCACCCGCTCAGTCGCTCACTCGTCCAGCCATCCGCTCACCCACTCAGTCGCTCACTCCTCCAGGCATCCGCTCACCCGCTCAGTCGCTCACTCATCCAGCCATCCGCTCACCCGCTCAGTCGCTCACTCATCCAGCCATCCGCTCACCCGCTCAGTCGCTCACCCGCTTGCTCATCCAGTCACTTGATCGCCCACCCAGCCACTCACCCACTCACTCAGCCACTCACCCACTCACTCACCCACTTACGTACCCACCCCCTCGCCTACTCACTCGCTCGCCTACTCACCCATTCACTCGCGTACCCACTCGCTCACTCATTCAATCGCCCGCCCACTTGGTCACCCACCCACCCACTTGCTCGCCCACCCACTTGCTCACCCACCCACTTGCTCACCCACCCACTCACGCACTCGCAGACTTGCTTACTAATTTAATCTCGCCAATTCTCTCTCTTGAGTCTGAGTCTCTCTCACTCTGAGTCTCTCGACGCTTGAGACTCTCTTTCAATTTCTCTGTGCCTTAGACTATCTCTCTGTCTCTCTGTATCCATCCCTCTCTCTGACTCTCTCTCTCTCTGAGTCTTTCTCTCTCTGAGTCTCTCTATCTCTCTCTCTCTCTCGACCCTCTCTCTCTCTCTCAGTCTCTCTCTCTCTGACTCCTATTTCTGACACTCTATGTGTGAAGGTGCCCAGACCCGCTGGTGCACCGCCATGTGCTTCTGTTCCTGGTCGTGCCTTAGCTCTCAGAGTCTCTCTGAGTCTCCCTCTGAGTCTATCTGAGTCTCTCTCTCTCTCTGAGTATATACAAGTTTCTCTGTCCCTCTGAGTCTATCTGAGTCTCTCTCTCTCTCTCTGAGTATATACAAGTTTCTCCGTCTCTCTGAGTCTATCTGAGTCTCTCTCTCTCTGAGTATATACAAGTTTCTCCGTCTCTCTGAGTCTTTTTGAGTCTCTCTCTCTGAGTTTCTGTCAATCCCTCTCTCCGTGTCTGAGTCTGTCTCTTGCCCTTACTCTGTCTGACTTTCTACCTCTCTCTGTGCACGCAGGGAAGTGGGCGTGTCCTCGTGCATGCTCCCTGCCATCTGCCCAAATGGGCCTGGCTTTTCCTCCATCCTAACCCCACCTCGGAGTTAACACACCTTTGGTGGCCAATTTCCCCCTCTCTTTTCATCTCGCAGGTCGAAATGCGTCCGCAAATCTTCCCCCATTCACTGCAAAGCCGCGGCGTTGTTGACTTCTGGGTTTTGCTCCTCTTACAGCTCGAATTTTTTTTTTGTTGTTTAAAACCAAAAAAAAATCTATCTTTCGAATCACCTTTGTTTACTCTGGTGCCGTTCATATATATATATTTGTTAATGGCACAGCACGCTGAGCACGAGGCTCTCACCCGGAAAAGAAAACAAATGTCCTCATCCAGCGGAGGTCCGTGTGGAGGACGGGGCCTGCTCCTGCCGTGAGGACTCTGTGAGCCTGGCGAGAATTCTCGCTGCCTCGCGCATGAACCCGCGCTGTGGTCCTGTTTCTGGCCAAGGGAACGTCGAGGGGGGCAGGGGGGGGAGCGGCTTGCACAGCGAAAGCCTCTGGCCTCCCCCCCCCCCCCCCACCGTTGAAGGTCCTCATCTCCAACGCCCCCCAAAACGTTTACCCGAAAATGCCGGTCTGCGACGAGATATCCCTTGGCCCTTTCGGTAAAGTCACCACGTTGAAGGGAAACAATAAAATAACAAAAAATAAATATATATATATATAAAACAATTTTAAAAAAAAATTCTCACGACGTTTTCGACCGTAGCGCAGACGTTCGTCACGACCGTTTGTGTTATGGTCGAAACGTCGTGAGAATTTTTTTTATTGTTTTATATATATTTTATTATTATTTTATTGTTTCCCCTTCAACGTGGTGACTTTACCGAAAGAGCCGAGAATATGAGTCACCGCAAGCGCGGAAGCTTTAAATCAAAACTGCAACGAGATCTCCCGCATCTTTTGATTTAAAGCTTTCGTGACTGCAGTAATTCACATTCTTAGCTCTTTCGGTAAAGTCACCACCACGTTGAAGGGAAAACAATAAAATAATAAAATAAATATATATAAAACAATAAAAAAAATTCTCACGACTTTTCGACCATAACACAAACGGCCGTCATCATGGTCGAAACGTCGTGAGAATTTTTGCATTGTTTTATATATATATTTTATTATTGTATTGTTTCCCTTCAACGTGACTTTACCGAAAGAGCCAAGAATATGAATCACCGCAGTCACGAAAGCTTTAAATCAAAACTACAACGAGATCTCCCGCATCTTTTGATTTAAAGCTTTCGTGACTGCAGTAATTCACATTCTTAGCTCTTTCGGTAAAGTCACCACCACGTTGAAGGGAAAACAATAAAATAATAAAATAAATATATATAAAACAATAAAAAAAATTCTCACGACGTTTCGACCACAACACAAACGGTCGTCATCATGGTCGAAACGTCGTGAGAATTTTTGCATTGTTTTATATATATATTTTATTATTGTATTGTTTCCCTTCAACGTGACTTTACCGAAAGAGCCAAGAATATGAATCACCGCAGTCACGAAAGCTTTAAATCAAAACTACAACGAGATCTCCCGCATCTTTTGATTTAAAGCTTTCGTGACTGCAGTAATACACATTCTTAGCTCTTTCGGTAAAGTCACCACCACGTTGAAGGGAAACAATAAAATAATAAAAATATATATAAAACAATAAAAAAAATTCTCACGACGTTTCGACCATAACACAAACGGTCGTCATCAGGTGTGTCGGTTTTCATAAATTTATTTTAAAACGGTGTATTTATTTATTTATAAAACCGTCAGCGCCATGCGCAGCGATTTGGCAGTTTATTTAGAAGGACTAGTCCATCTATGTTCTGAAAAGAGGATGGGGGAGACGAATTTTTTTTTTTTACGTATGCAAACCGACACACCTGATGACGACCGTTTGTGTTATGGTCGAAACGTCGTGAGAATTTTTGTATTGTTTTATACATATCTTATTATTTTATTGTTTCCCCTTCAACGTGGTGACTTTACCGAAAGAGCCGAGAATATGAGTCACCGCAGTCGCGGAAGCTTTAAATCAAAACTGCAACGAGATCTCCCGCATCTTTTGATTTAAAGCTTTCGTGACTGCAGTAATTCACATTCTTAGCTCTTTCGGTAAAGTCACCACCACGTTGAAGGGAAACAATAAAATAATAAAAATATATATAAAGCAATAAAAAAATTCTCACGACGTTTCGACCATAACACAAACGGTCGTCATCAGGTGCGTCGGTTTTTCATAAATTTATTTATTTTTAAACGGTGTATTTATTTATTTATAAAAACCGTCAGCACCACGCGCAGCGATTTGGCAGATTATTTAGAAGGACGAGTCCATCTATGTTCTGAAAAGAGGAGGGGGGAGACGAAATTTTTTTTTTTGTATGAAAAACCGACACACCTGATGACGACCGTTTGTGTTATGGTCGAAACGTCGTGATAATTTTTGCATTGTTTTATATATATTTTATTATTATTTTATTGTTTCCCCTTCAACGTGGTGACTTTACCGAAAGAGCCGAGAATATGAATCACCGCAGTCACGAAAGCTTTAAATCAAAACTACAACGAGATCTCCCGCATCTTTTGATTTAAAGCTTTCGTGACTGCAGTAATTCACATTCTTAGCTCTTTCGGTAAAGTCACCACCACGTTGAAGGGAAACAATAAAATAATAAAAATATATATATAAAACAATAAAAAAATTCTCACGACGTTTCGACCATAACACAAACGGTCGTCATCAGGTGTGTCGGTTTATCATAAATTTATTTATTTTTAAACGGTGCATTTATTTATTTATAATTTAAAAAAACGTTAGCGCCACGCGCAGCGATTTGGCAGATTATTTAGAAGGACGAGTCCATCTATGTTCTGAAAAGAGGATGGAGGAGACTAAAATTTTTTTTTTTTACGTATGCAAACCGACACACCTGATGACGACCGTTTGTGTTATGGTCGAAACGTCGTGAGAATTTTTGTATTGTTTTATACATATCTTATTATTTTATTGTTTCCCCTTCAACGTGGTGGTGACTCTATCGAAAGAGCCGAGAATATATATATATATCTCTCTCTCCCGCATAATCGCGTTGCCCTTGGAGGGACGGCAGCAGATGCTGGTGCACCCCGGGTCCTTCCAGCGGCACGCTGGACTGGATGTGACCCTCAAGTGCACGGCGGACGGGCACACATGCACCGTGCGGCGCCGGCGGCCCGGTGGACGGCGACTCCAAACCCTCGGGCTGGAAGCGAGGACGGCTTCGCCGGTGGAGCCGCGAAAAACGCAGCGCCGAACGGAGGCTCCGTTCGCCGCTAGGCCCAAGTGTGCAGTCGACCGCCCGTGGTGAACCGGACGCGCCTGAGGCTGTGAAGGCCGAGGATTGACCACCCCCCCCCCCCCCCCCCCCCCACCCAAGCGGACGCTGTCTTAGACATTGCCGGGCGAGTGTGGTCGATGACGGGGCGTGGGGGGGGGGGTAGGGTGGTAGGTAGGCATGGTGGAAGAGGCCCGGCCAGCGGACACTGCCTCAGCTGCCTCTGGGCGCGTCTGATTGGTTGGTCCCACGGTGCTGGAGGAGGGTGCCAGCCAGCCCGCTTCGCCCGTGGAGGTGGCTCTGGAGCCAACCGGAGCCCCAGGGCCACCCCGGTTCGAATGAGGGCCCCCCTTGTGCCTGAGCCGGCAGAAGAGGAGTCTGCTGAGCCACGGGCCGCAGCGCACGGGGACTCTGATGACCAGTTGGCAGGATTCGATGTCGTGGACAGCGCGAGCGAGTTGAGCCTCTCGCGAATCAATGGCGATCGTGAACGCCCCGCGCCGTGGGCGATCCTAGATTTTTGCTGCGAGCCCGGCCTTCCGGAGCGTGGTGCTAAGAGTTGGAGGCCTTCTTGCCGGGATGTGACCGGCTTCCGGAAGACCTTCCAGAGGCTTCCATTGGGAATCCGCGGGAGTATTGGTTCAGCCGGCAGGAATGCCACCGCCGGAAATCTTTCGTGCAAACGGCGAAGAGGAGGGGATCCTTTCGATTTAAAGCTTTCGTGACTGCAATGATTCATCTTCTTTGGTTCTTTCGGTAAAGTCACGTAGAATGAGAATAAAATAATAAATTGATAAAATAAAATAACACAATAATATTCTCACGACGTTTCGTTGTGGCCGAAACGTCGTGAGAATATTATTGTGTTATTTTATTTTATCAATTTATTATTTTATTCTCATTCTACGTGACTTTACCGAAAGAACCAAAGAAGAGGAGGGGATCCTGGCATTCAGAAGCGATTCGTCTCAGCTACAGCTGACACTCGCTCTCATTGCTTCAGGTGTGAAGGTAGCCAGCCTGAGCTGCGACTGGCTCGTGGCGACAACAGGAGCAGAAGGCAGACGCGACTCTCCTCCAAAAAAAAGGCACCTTGATGCCCACTCAGAAAGGGCCAAGGCCGGAATCCTCTAGGTGGCCAGGCCTTCGTTTGCCATACTGAAGGAAACCTCGCTGAAGTGGCAATTAGATGGCATGGTCTTTAAACGAATCATAATAGGGTTCTTAATTTCAGTCGTCTGCATTCGCCGTCTGCATGCTAAAGCCCTCTGTTGATATGTAAACTCCTTTGTCAAGGCCCTCTGCTCCGCCCACCCGGCTTAAAATGCGCTGCCAAGCTCAGCGGTGTTCATTAGGACGCCGTCTTTCCGACAGCCTGTGTTTCTTCACCTGAGGACGGCTGCCTGCGTTGTGGCCGAAACGTCGTGAGAATTTTATTGTGTTTTATTTTTTATTATTTTATTGTTTTCCCTTCTTCTACGTGGTGGTGACTTTACCGAAAGAACCAAGAATAATAATTTTATTGTTTTACAATAATTTTATTTTGATTTAAAGCTTTCGTGACGGCAGTAATTCATATTCTTAGTTTTTTCGGTAAAGTCACGTTGAAGAGAAACAACAACGTGACTTTACCGAAAAAACTAAGAATAATAATTTTATTGTTTTATATTTTTATTATTTTATTGTTTCCCTTCTACGTGGTGGTGACTTTACCGAAAGAACCAAGAATAATAATTTTATTGTTTTACAATAATTTTATTGTTTTATATTTTTATTATTTTATTGTTTCCCTTCTACGTGGTGGTGACTTTACCGAAAGAACCAAGAATAATAATTTTATTGTTTTACAATAATTTTATTGTTTTATATTTTTATTATTTTATTGTTTCCCTTCTACGTGGTGGTGACTTTACCGAAAG